ATAAATTTAATTAATTTTAAGGTGTAAGAAAATGGTTTTTTTTGGATGTGAGATAGAAAAAAAGAGGAGAAGACTAGATAAAGAAGCCCTAAGTAAAAGAGGTTCAATGGACAAAATTTGTTCGAGTGAAGAAGTGAAATTCTGATTACCTCCTCAAGTTGAGAACTCGGAGGAGAAGAATGATTTAGTTATTCAAATTGAAATGGTTCAAAATGATCATGTTAGTTTAGGAGGAAAATATTTTTACAATTTTTTAAAGATTAAGCCCAATATAAATTATCCGCCCCTAGGCCTTGAAAAAGACAAGACCGGCCCAGCTGCTAATCCCTTATTTTACATCTGATAATATTACTACGTAATATATTAATAGTCTTTAATATTAGTGAAATACTGAAATACCATCTTATGTAATTAGTTTATGCTTTTATTTGTTATGTATTGTGAGAAACTATACATGCATTTAATGGTTTAAATTCAATTTCACTTCTTGATATTTATACTCCTTTTTCTAATTCCTCATTTTACATATGGTAGTATTGAGGTAGTAATAATTTCTTATTATGTTTATCATTGTAATATACAATGTTTATTTGAATATTGCCTCCATTTTTTTATTACTTGTCACCTTGGCTTTTTCATGAAGATTAAGAAAGTAGTAGAGGTTAAATATTTAAGTAGAAACAGTATTAAAGAAATGGAGAAAAAGTGGAAAAAGTAGAAAATAGGAGAAGAAAAAGAAGAACAACTGAACAAGTATAAGAAGTTGAAAATAGGAAGAGAAAAATAGGGTGAAAGTTTCAAATATAGGAATTTATGGAAGGTTGATAAATGATATAAATTTTTCAAAAAGGAATAAATGAAGGGTAAAAAAGAATAAACAGAGCATTGACTTTACACCATAGAATGCTCGACTAGATGGAGCATTCGTAAAGTACAGTCAGATTATAGAATCTTTATTGATAATAAACATTCTTATGAGCTATAACTCTTCATTCTCATGTCCTTTTGACCATCCACTTCAATACAATATAGTACTACGTAATATATAGGGGCATTGCCACAAGTAAGAGTTGGGATGAACCGGTACAAAGAATTTTTACACATAAATTTTTACATAAAAAATATAAGCAATTTTAAAATTTGGGCTGCGCCGTGGCCCGATTGGCCACCCCTCCACCTCCGCCCCTAGACTAATATACACATGAAGCATGCAAACTTGTTCAAGAGCACATTGGCGTGATAAATGATCACTATTCTCTCAACATTTTAGATGAGTAAAAATTAACCATTTATCACGCCAATATGCTTTGTAATGAGCATGTGGGCCTGCTCAAGAAGTGTACTCTACTTCAATAATCTTGGGGTACATTAGTTCGATGAGTTTAGAGACATTTACTAATATCTGATTAATATATCGAATTCTTTAATTCTGCTAAAAGTTTAAAAATATTAACATCTAATAAATAAATGCCACATATAAGTATATACAATTATACAAATAATACAACAACAACAACAACAAACAAATAAGGAGTAGTAAAGAAGGAACTTAAAATGGGTCATTTGGATTTCAGTCGAGGTCCTTCACTCACGTTGGAGTGTTGGACCGATATTGGCTGTAGTCCCATACAGATCTGAGTAATGCGAGCTAAGCACATCGGTGTGGAGTGGAGCTCTCATCTTTCGTCTCCCCCTTCTACATTACAGAAATTGTTTGCAACCAGCCCAGTGGTTCATCTATTGAACTTTGAATGGGTGCTTTCTCAGTTTCAGGTTCAGAAACATCTGCACACTCTCCTACAGTTTGGCTATCTACCATTTGTTTCACTGCTTGAATCGACGTCAACGTGCAAATGCTTCAACAATTCACTGTTTTGACTTTCACTCCCTGGACTCAAACTGCTCTCACCGGTATATTCCTCCGTTTTATCTTTCGCCTTTAACAATCTTCCCCTTCTCTGTTTTGATAAAAATTCACTTGCCTTTTTGAGCCATTCTAGGATTTTATTAATTTATCTTCTTTGATATTCACTTTTGTTGATTTTATTTAATTTCTGTTTTCTTTCTTAGATTCTTGCTCTGACAAAGTAGAAATTCTCAAACCCCAGGTACTCGTTTTTCCTTTACTTTATGAATTAGTTAATCTGTATGGCGCATATCAGTTAACAAATAACGCTTGTATTATATTTTTGTTTGTTTTTTTGGGTGATCCTATTGCTATGCTGTAATATCACAGGCGTCTCTACTTGAGTCTTTATGCTTTTACGCTGCATAATCTTCATAGTTTATGTCTAAAGTTTTTTGTTTCTTTATGTGCAGTTTGGCTCTATATATCACACTGCTATTAAGTCAAGAAGAAAGGGGATTTTCATTTGTCTTGATAGGACACCCCCTCAATATGGAAGGCCAAAGAAACTTGGAGTTCCCCAGAATGTAGATTTCCCCCCGATTCAGCCAAGGAATAAGAAGAAGCCATATCCCATACCTTTGAAGAAAATCATGGAGGCTGCTAAGGCTGATAAGAAACTTGCACAGTTGGGAATTGAGAAGCCACTTCATCCACCCAAAAATGGGCTGCTCGTGGACGATTTAGTTCCAGTTGCTCATGAAGTTCTAGAAGCTTGGAAGATTTTGATCAAAGGAGTGGCTCAACTCCTTCATGTAGTCCCTGTCCATGCTTGTAGGTATGGTGTGTGTGAGCTGTGAGGCTGTCATGGCCTTCTTTGGCTTGAGTGCTCTACAATGAATATATATGGTATATATTATCTTGCAACCAAAACTCTTATCTTGCCCCGATTGATCCATCCTAGGCGTTAGCTATCATTTTGTTTTCTTAGGTTTAAGTATCATTGGTTGTTTAAGTCTGAAAGAAGTCCAAGTGAATAAGTATCATTGGTTGTTTAAGTCTGAATTTATTTGGTTTGGTCTAGGACTGAAATATTCCTACTTTCCAGTTCCCAAGTGAATAGGTCCTAATTTCTAGCATCCCATTACATATAGGCAGATTTGGTGAGATTGTTGAAGATATGCTTGATATGGATGGAGTTTTATGTGTTGCTGAATTCTGAATTAAAGTAAAAATACTTCAGTCAAAAAATAAATAAAGTAATGATCAGTTTCAACAACTTAAAAGATATCGCAACTCTTATTTTCATTGAGTTTGACTAGTCCTGCTAGAACAGTTATATAACTTAGGGTCTATTTGGGGTTCATAAAGTTTTGAAAGGGGGGGACGACGTTTATATCTTAATATAAGTTTGAGATTGTATAAAAAGGAATAAAAACAGTGTGTGAATGTGTAATACTGTAATATTTGAGTCAGCCTTTATTAGTTTTTTGCAACATTCTATTCCGTATTTATTAAGAAATAGATTTAAGTCCTTAATATTTCTCCTACAAAACTCTCCAACCAAACATACTCTAGTGTTTGGTTAAAACTATAAGCTGAAAAAGTGGCTGTCAAGCTGCCTCTGAGTGTAAGGTCTCAGTCTAGTGCCTTTAACAACATTGCTGAAACTCAATATCTAAATGTACTCATGCAGTGAATGCTCAGGAGTTCACATTGCTGAAAGAGGCCATGAGATTCAAGATTGTCAGGGCTCAACCAGTTCCAACCGGAGAGGCTTCCATTCATGGGTGAAAGGTTCCATTAATGATATTCTTATTCCTATTGAATCATACCACATGTATGACCCTTATGGAAAGCGCATTAAGCACGACACTCGGTTTAACTTCGACAGAATCCCAGCGATCGTTGAGCTTTGCATCCAAGCAGGTGTTAATTTACCAGATTACCCTTCACGTCGCAGGACTACCCCCATCCGCATGATCGGTAGGAAATTAATTGACGTAGGCGGATATGTCGATGAGCCTGGACCCCGCGATATGAGCTTGCCAGTTGCGGACTTTGACACTCATCGAGCTTTTGAAAGGTTTGGGCCTCCCAGTGAATCTGAAGCCCTGATGATTGCACATGAGACCATCAAAGCGTACGACAATGTCAAACGAGGGGTGAGGAAGTTGATGAGAAAGTATTCCGTGAAAGCGTGCGGATATTGCTCCGAAGTCCACGTCGGCCCTTGGGGTCACAATGTGAAGCTATGTGGCGCCTTCAAGCACCAATGGAGGGATGGGAAACACGGTTGGCAAGATGCGACAGTGGATGAGGTTTTCCCACCAAATCACTTGTGGCACGTGAGGGAGCCGAAAGGACGTCCAATGAGGAGCGCATTGAGGAGGTTCTACGGGAAGGCACCTGCTGTGGTTGAGCTCTGCATGCAGGCTGGTGCGGAAGTCCCTCAATTTTATAAGCCGATTATGAGACTTGATGTTGTCTTACCCGATAGCGAGGAAGCAGATCTAGTTGCCTGAAATTTTCACACTAAAAGTACGAGTATATAATACCTTGTTCTAATATGTCAAGTAAAGAGGTTATATGCCCCCGCCCTTTTTTTTTTTTTTTTTTTTTTTTTTTTTTTTTTTTACATTTTGGCCTTTGAACTCGCCAGCAATGGATACACAAGTTGTTCATAACAAGTTATGACAGCTGCCCACAATGTTTTTTGAGCAATATTTATTATACACGTAATTCAAAAATAAAAATACAAGTAGTTTTCTTTCCCGCTACCTTCACAACCCTTGCAAAATATAGAACCTGTTTTGCTACGTTTAAGAAAATGACACAGATTCACTCGATGTGAATGTAGTTTACATATGCTAAACAGCAGGAGGTCTTCATATTATCACAGCCTCACAGTGAAAAACTTTTGATTAGAAACAAATTACATGGCAGAAGTTTGTAAGTAAAAAGTGTTAGGAACAGAAAAAAAGAATTGAAGTCTGCTGGGTATATGGATATCTAGTGTAATCTAATCTAAAACGGAGTGGAGAATGATGCTTTCCCAGGAAAAGAGTTAAAGAGAATGCAACTCGTCAAACCTCTTTACTTCAAGGTTTCCCCAGTCAAGCCGGCCACTGAATGACTAACACAAGTACACAGACACACAGCCTGTAGCCTTTACAAAACAAAACTAGTATCAGGAACTTGTGCTCGCTTATCCTTCGGACAAACAATGTTTGTCTTAACCTCGGCTAAAAGTTTGTCATTACCCGATTTAATCATTTAAGATATAAACACAGGTAAAATGTAGTCGCCATTTTAATCGATTTTTTCAAAACCTAACCATGATGAGTGAGTTCAGCCTGCCCCGATGGAATAAAACTAATTTTCATTTTTTTTTTTACAATAACACCAAAATTAAGGGAGCATTTGCTCATACCCTTGGTTGCGAGATGAAATTTGGTGTTTTACAAAATTGAATTGCAACTATCCAATCATGACCGATGATAAGAAGACAAACCATCCTTAATTATCCTTTGTTTGCTCAAACAAGCTAGATCAACAACTAGCTCATTCACCAAAGAACTTAAGACATATCTTTCCAACTCCATAGCTAAGCCCCCATTCTCCTCATCCACTATCCTCTTCAACTCCCATTCATTCTCCATATCCTCAATGTACCGCTTCCTATTCTTTTCCACTTCCCATTCATGCAAATATCTATGAGATTCCCCATTAATCCAATCCCCCGCTTCCTTTATTAGCTGCGAAACCGGCAATCTGTCTTCAATGATTCCATCCCGGAAGAAATCGAGTAGTAAGAATCTTTCAGTCACATTAAGTTTGAGGCTACATGATGATAGCCTTCTGTTGTGGTTCAACTGTTGAAGTAATAATGCCGCTTTTAGTTCTACTTGGCTATGATCTTCGCAGCCTATATCCCTGAAGTTGTACGGTGTGAATGATAAGGAATTGCGTAGAGGTGATTCGGCTTTCAGTGGCACCTCAATTTGAGTGAGGCTCTCAAACCTTTTGATCTTCTTCATCAGCTTCCTCAGGGTTTCTACAAGATAAGTAGCGTTTTTACATATAAGAATTAGGACAATATGACTAAAACTGTAACCAAAGTACTAAACTATAACAATACTATGACTCTTATTTTGAACAATTTCTTAATCCCTAGTAACTACAAAAATATGACTATCTTTAAATTAAATATTTCTAAAGGTGACTAAATTGTAAACATCGGAGTATGTATTTGATTTAAATATTATTCTCTTTTCTCCCATAATTTTCTTTCTATTTTCCTTTTGAAATGTCCGGAAATTTTCTTCTAATATCTTTGTGAGATATACCTTTCTTTTCAGTTTTTAACTCAACCTGTCAACCACAACCATGCAATTTCACAACCATGTAACACTTGAATCCATCTATTTGTCACATCCTCGGTCCCACTGTTTTCTTCTTCCTTACTTGGGTCAATGAGGAATATTTTATTATGTCACTATACTTTTCCTAACTTTCTTCATGCGGGTATTGTCCTAATTATTACTCCACCCACCCCACAAAATTTGACTTGCATGTAAAATAATAAAATCAAAATTGTGGTTCAAATTTATACTCCCTGCGTTCTTTATTATTAGTCCTTCTTTCCTTTTTTGGACGTTTTTTTATTTGTCCTCCTTTCCATTTAAGGAAAGTTTTTGAGAAAATACCCTCACTTTTATTACTTTTACTCCACTTACTTTTTTACAAACTACTTTCTCTTTCCTACTTTATCATCACTTTACTCTTCTTAATACACTCTCTTTCCTACTTTCTCATTATTTTACTCTTTTTAATATACCTTCTTTCCTACTTTAACATTTACCCTACACACTCTATACTTACCCTACTACTTTCCTCTTAAAACCCGTGCCAAAGCCAAGAGGGACCAATAATAAAGAACGGAGGGAATACAAAGAAGAAATAAATAATTTTGTGGGGTAGATGGAATAATTAACCTTACTTTTAATCTTTTGTTGGCAACAATAACAATGCAATTACCTGGTCCGATATTAAGTTTATCTTGGAAAGAGACATCGTCATCGTCTTCAAATGGACAATCCAGTGTAGAGATCGGACTTGACTGTTCCTTTTCCACGTTACAAGTTGTTATTGACCAGAGCTGTTTTAGTAACCATTAACAATTATTAAAACTTAGAACATATGCCAAATTCAACAAGTTTGTTAAATTAGTACATACTGACATAGTGACGTGCATTCGGAGTTCTGAATTATTAATGCCAGTTTGAGCCGTTGAGAAGGTTAAATTTAATAGGCTAAAGGGTCAAATAGACCCTTAAACTGACTTAAAGTGTTCAATTAGTCCCTTATATAGGAGGTTCTGTCCGGCTGTCGCCAATTGGAGCGGTTCCCGGTGGATTTTTTTGATGAAATTTTTTGAGCATCTTCTTCATTGAGTCTAGTTTACTCATACCAAATTTCAGCTAAAAAGCCAACCGGGAAGGCAGTCAAATGATTTTTTGAAGATAATTGCGAAGTTAAACAACGCAGTACATTTCGAAAAATCATTTGACTGCCTTCCCGATTGAATTTTTAGCTGAAATTTGGTATGGGTAAACTAGGCTTAATGAAGAAGATGCTCAAAAAATTTCATCAAACAATTCCACCGGGAACCGCCCCAATTAGCGACGGCCGGGCAGAACCTCCTATATAAGAGGCTAATTGAACACTTTAAGTGAGTTCAAGGGCCTATTTGACCCTTTAGTCAATTTAATAATTACAATCTCATTTTTTTTGGAGGAAGTTACAAACTCACAATCCCAATTAATTCCGCAAAAATAGATTTGAAGCATGCATGGCTAGTTTCAAATTTCAATTTGTCAGTAGTTTTATTATAAAGAAAATCTATCTAAAGAAATAGTGAACTTTTCCCAACAAGTCAACAACATACTCCGTATATACTGTCATTGAATAAAAGAAAAATGAAAACTAATAATTCAACCTTTTAGCGGTCTTCTTATAATAGTCCCACCTTTTGATTATTCATGAATAATTCAACCTTTGCACCTCATCTTCATTCACTGGTCTCTGACCGGTTGATGACCTACCATTCCAAGTTATTTTCTTATCTTTGCAAACCATTATATTATAAATCTCACCTTTCACAAAGATAATATTTTGCAAAGATACGAAAATAACTTGGAATAGCAGGTCATCAACCGGTCAGGGACCAGTGAATGAAGATGAGGTGAAAAGGTTGAATTATTCATGAATAATCAAAAGGTGAGACTATTGTAACAAGACCGCTAAAAGGCTGGATTATTAGTTTCCATTAGTTGAGTATGATACTTATAGATACGTATTACGTAACCCATTTTTTCAAATATGATCATTGATATTTTTTCTTGGAAAAAGAGCTTAATCAATCCTAAAAAGGAATAAACTATTTTAATTGGAGATCATAAAAAAACACAATTTTAATTGGAGTAGATATATCGTGTTGTTTTTTTGGAAGAAACAGCACTTCCTTGTTCCATTTCAAGATATATCTCCTACACTATTGACAAAATCAATTTAACTAACTCTATTTTAATCTTTGGTTAACTTTTTATAATAACTTTCGCGATCCATTTTTTTTTGCAATTTAGTAGAACTCCTAGCGTTTGAGTACATACGTTTTAATAATTAGAAATAATCTATACTTTATCCGCGAGGAATTTACTTTCTCATTACGTTTTCATTGTAAACTTTAAAAAGACATTAGTACTCCTATGGTGTTGTTCGGTTTTCGGCAGATCCGCATCAACCCGCTGCTTTTAGCGGCGTTTTCATGTTAAAAAGAAGCAACGGATTGATGCTTCCTCTGTTATCCAAACGGGTCCATAATCTTGAGATGCGTGACTGAAGGAGTACTATATACGGAGTACTACATATTTGAATATAAACTCTATCTCCAGTCTGTTTGCTTTGTAAAATAAAGAGCTAAATAAAGACATGTTACAATATAAAGGTAATTTCAAATTCTAAAACTTTTATTACATCCATAATTTTGTTTTTCTCAAAGGATGCGTATTTGTTTGACGAAAATATATAAAGTCAGCTCTATTGATTCCGTACATGCGAAAGTGGTAGATTTGAAAAATCCATTTTCCTTTTTAGAGCATCCACATTGATGATCTTCAACTTTACGGTTTTTGATGGCTTATTATTGTCATATCACCTCTACATAAGATAATCTCAAATAATCTCCAAATCAATAAATTTCTCCTCATTCATGATCTCAATTTACCTTGGATAGGAGCATGAGCATGCACAAACTACAAAGCTAGTCATCACCATAATTATGAGTATATGCCTAGAAATCGGAAATAATCTCAAAATAATCCAGCTTTAGAATTTGATACCAGATTATTTTATTAAATAATCTCATAAAATAATCTCAACTCCTCATCCATGATCCCCAAAAAATCCTCGACATCATCAAAATGATCCCAAAAATAATCCATGGATGTGGATGCCCTTATGTCGTCAGAAACATAGATTCAATAATTCAAATTCTAAAACTATATTAGAAACTACAACACTGAAAATTTAAAAGTCGCGTGATTAGATCTATCACAAGTGGATGTGGTTCCTTCACAAAGCGTGTTTTATCTTCATTAAGCACGCAATTAAAGCAATTACACAGTTAAAATACTGCTAGGAAAGGACTTAAGGACGGAGATGGAAGGATCCGAAAAAGACTGAAGCAAATCACATATTTTAAGAGCACTTTTTGTAAAAGATTGAAGCAAGTGACACATTTCAAAGAGATGGTTTTCAAGTTTCAACTACCTTTTGTTATTCACATGGTCGAAGGATATGGCGAGTGATTTTTAGTTGAAGGACGTATTTGTATTATTAATTAATTTTATTAGCTAGTTCCCTTAGTCATTAACCCCTCCGACCTAGCTCGACCCATTCAAAAATACAGTAAACATTGTACTACCTCCGTCCCTTTTATATTGGTACGGAGGAGGGTAACACAATTATTAAGAAAAATGGGTTTATGTGCTTGATATTAATTGATAAGGTAAGAATGATTTGGAATAAATATGGTATGACACAATATTAGTGAGACTTCCCAAAAATGTAAAACGAGACAATATAAGGAGAACAAAGAGAGTAATTTGTAGCAATCAGGTAATTTGTAGCAATCGGGACACATGATAGCGTAGCATTTATGAGTGATGAGCACATTATGACATAATTACTTTTTGTACAACAAGTGTGTCAAGAAAAATGTCACAATTTCATGTTTCCGACGAATCTTAATTAGCTCGTCTGAATCTGGATGAAGTTTTTTTTTTTTTAACTTTTACTACGCATATTCTATAATCAAATTGACACTTCAGTAAGATATACTCCTAATGGAGTATATGCCCCAGAATCCCCGATCCACACACTCTCCTGCCACCACAAAAGGCCCAAACAAGCAACCGAATACCACTTAAGTACAAGCCCATAAAAGCCATCCCACATACTCGATTCAGAACATCCCCGTTTCCGGAGGAGACCTCGAGAAAGAGCCTTTGGTCCCCGAGGACGAAGCCCTCGATTTCGTCCAGAAGCCTTCCGGGTCGGCAAGATCCAAAACTCAAGCATCGCATTTAATGCTCCGACACGTGATCACATCTAGCTCACTACAGTGCTCCCCGTCATACACTAGCTTAAACGTGTGTGCATTTAATACACTTATGACTAGTATAAATAGTTGACTAGTATAAATAATTGCCCCTTGAAAAGACATTTATGACTAGTATAAATAGTTGCCCCTTGAACAAATGTAACAGTTGGAAAATTATTAATACGATTGCTTTTCTTTCTCTAGCTTAGTAGCTCTACCTTCTCTCTACATACCGGTTGTGCTATAGTGCTATCTAAACTCCTATGTTACATTCTGAATTGAACACTGATTGGACTTTCAATTCGTACATATGCCTACGGAGTAATAGTTACGTTACGACTTGAATTTATTTTTGTGCACTTCTATTTTCGAACAAATTGTACATGTTAAATTATGATGTACCGTTTTTCTGAATGAACTTATAGCCTTTTCTATTGTACTAAAATTTGAGATCGGATTTGATGTACATAAGTTGATTTGAATTAATCATGTCGAGAACATTAGATCGTTTTTAAATTTAAGATATATTCCCTCTTTAAAGGATCGGAAAATCAATATTAGCACTATAGCATATCTTTGATGAACTCTACGAGACTACGAGTCTGTAATATATAAATATTTTACTCCGTATATATATAATTAATGATCGGTATAATTAAGCATACCTATACACATGTAGTTCAAACTTTTTAAATGAAGTACTATGCTTAAGAGGAACTTCTCCATATAATTTGAATGTAGATGTTGAAATCAAAATGGTTCAAATTGTATTACAGAAACTATTCCAGTATTCCCCCATACTTAATTACTTTTAAAGATAAAGATGACTTTCTAACTACTACGTATGTCGGAATGTCCAAGAGACACGCACATCTCATTAAATATTAAATTCAACCACATTTATTACTCCATACTTTATAACTTTTTTTCGAAGAGTATTAAAAAGTCGTTGCAATTATTGTCGAAGTTTACAAAGTAGTACTTGTTAAATATTTTTTCGGATTTTCTAGTGTGTATTTTTCAGATTTTCTATCGTGTTGCTGCGAAAAAAGGTGGTGTACAATCAAAACTTGTTCGATCACTTCGTGTTGATATATGTGAGTTCAAAATATCAAGAATGTAATGTAATAAAAATGATCCGTGTGAAAAATATTTCGAAGTACGTTCAAACTCTTACTCACGATCATATATTCCGTGTGATACATGCCAGTGTTCATTTAGTTGATTATATGACACAATATAATTAATTCCGAGTATTATATTAGTTACTATATCGAATGATTAAAAATGAGAGTTAGTTGAATGCACAAATCAATTACAATGTGATTATATGACACAATATCTCAAACTTTTGTTACGCCCACAGCCCCACACGGCAGGAATTCGTAATATCTCGAGAAATACTACTATGTGAGAATTTCTATTCATTGTGACAATTTTCTTCTACAATCCCTACTTTTGCAAACATTTTAGTTTTTTTTATTTCGACGATTGCTTAGTTTTCCTTTTACACCCCAATACTTCATTTATTAAGGATCTTGCGTTTTTTTAAACAATCTTACCTTTCTATTTGAGATGTTTTCTTTTGTACTCAAATTTGCTGGTCTGGTAAACGTCTGGTCTCTGTGTATTTTATAACTGCGGAAGTCTGATCTGCTCTGGGACTGAAAAAAGTCCAAAAAAGAAAACATCCTTACTGCTCTATTCGTTTATTAAGGATCTTGCGTTTTTTTTTTAAATCTTACCTTTCTGTTTACTAGCTATCACTCTCAAAACTAAATGATGAAGTTCAAAGTAATTAACAGCAAGTATTATCCGCAAGTTATGAGCACCTATGACCTATTAATTAGGGGTGTTCGTCGGTTCGGTTTAGTCGGTTTTCGGTTTGGTCGGTTCGGTTTGGTCGGGTTTTTTTCGGAAAAGCTGAAACCGAACCGCACTACTTGAGTCGGTTTCGGTTCGGTTTCGGTTCGGTTAATATCGGTCGGTTCGTGTCGGTTTCGGTTAGTTTTAGCACGTTTTTGTCGGTTTTTGTCGGTCGGTTTCAGTTCGGTCGGTTTTTTAACCCCAAAGGTGAAACCGTAAACCGAACCGCCAATGTTTGTTCGGTTTGAGTCGGTTTCGGTTTGAGTCGGTTTCGGTTTGAGTCGGTTTCGGTTTTGGTCGGTTCGGTTTCGGTCGGTTTGTCGGTCGGTTTCGGTTTTTCGGTTTTTTTGTTCACCCCTACTATTAATATACTCATATTTCATTAATCTTTGATTTTTGGTACACGACGAAAAAGAAAGGTAGGAGTATATCCTTTTGGTGGTGATATCATGTATCGATTCATGTTAGCTGACCCTAATATCTTTTGGGACTAAAACTTGATTGTTGTTGTAACGAAAAAGAAAGGCTACCCAACAAAAGGAGGGTCAATCTCATACTCCCTATTTCAATCTAATGTAATGGAAAGGTAAAGTGACACTTTCATATGTAAACTATACGGAGTATTCCAAAAACTAGGGTTTGCTTCAAGTTACTAATAGCACTTCGATTTTTAATATTTCCATTGGTAAAATACTTATATAGGATTATGCATCAATCTTTTCCCATATAAGACTAGACACATATGAAATGGAATAAGAACAAAGAACTTCCAATGGTGTTAATACATGCCCGTTGGTGTGAATACATGTTATTTAACATCCTTAATCCTCCGTTCTTTTTTAGTTGCAACGGTCAACATTTCACATTTGCCAACGCACGTCTTTGACCGTAATTATATCTTAATCTCTATTAGTAAAAAAAAAGTTAAAAATCGGATTTTGAAACTTTGTATTGAGATGAATTGAACAATATCTTTTTTAAAAAATAATTTTCATAAAATAATAGCGTAAAATTTAGTCAAAGTAGAGCCTGTGAATAGTGTAAAATTCAACATGTTGCGATTAAAAAGAAACGGAGAAAGAGTATTTAGCACGGAAACTCTCGGGAAAGAGTATGTTTCCCGTTTCGGAAACTCCCGGAAACTCTTTGGAAACTCTCAAAATAAGCGTTTTTTGAGCTAAAGTTGACGTTTCCCGTTTCCTCATGATTTTCGCGTTTCCATACAACATAGGATTAAGGATGTTTTCTTTTAGACTGAAATTTGTTGGTCTGGTCTGGTCTGTTTAAGTCTGGCCTGGTTTGGTAAACGTCTGGTCTCTGTGTATTTTCTAACTAAGAAATTCAGGTCTAATCTGGTCTGGTCTGTTTAAGTCTGGTCTGGTCTGTTTAAGTCTGGTCTGGTCTGATCTGGTCTGGGACTGAAAACCGTCCAAAAGAAAACATACTAAGTCATATTTTGAGAAATGAACAAAGTTTTGATCCTATGTGGTATAATTTTCTCATTTCCATTAGTCTTTCATTTTCCTTTTTTGAAAATGTTGTACACAATAAAGCTAGAACATTTTTTAAACCACTTTCCGATATTTTTAAAAAACACTTTTCACAAGGACGCACAAGCACAAAGAACACTTAATTGTTCGTGACAGATAGAAAGAGGCTAATCAAAAGTCAAATTACAAAAAACTTTAAATACAAAGCGAAGTATTCATATACAGAAAGTAACATACTAAAGTTGTTGAATATAAAATTTAATCAGTAATTTGACAACGCAAAAAAAAAATAAGAAAAGTAAATAAAGTGTTGTCACTTTTTTCCCAACCATCAGCCAGATGCAATATTTTCACTCGAGTCTTTCAATTGTTAAATACGAGTACGTAGTACTCCGGTAGAAGATAGCTCTCACTCAGCGTATTTTAGAAAATTGAAGGATTAAGTTACTGCGAATTCGTTATTTTTTTAAAAAGTTGGTGATTTTTCCTATACCGAAGTTCCAATATGTTCTGTAAAATCTAAGGTTTATGAATTACGGAGTATGATAATACTAGTAATAAAATTACTTAAAGTGCTGACCTGTTTGGTTGGAGGATATGCGTTAGTTACGCCGACACTCTCATTGCTAACTGCTTTCTCCGCCAGCGATGTTTTCGCAGCAACGACGTCGTTGTGCGCCACTCTCGAGCTCACCTCAGAATCGCAGCTCGAAGATTGCAGCAAACTGCCGGAAGCCATGAAATCACTATCGCACCAGCTGTTGCTCGTCGAGCTGTTAGAATCGGACGGTTTGCACATATTTTCCATCAATTGGTCGTAAACTTTCCACCGTTCCATTTCGCTGCGATCAGTTAATTTGATGTTCAAGTTTCGTTTCAGAAGCTTCCGCGGAAAATTCGCCGTCGGTATCTCCTTCTTCGGCTCGCTCTGTTTCTCAGACTTAACAGCCGCCGGAGAAGAGGCGATTTGGAGGATTCTAACCGCCTTAATCACCTTCTTCGAAGCTCTCTGCAAAGCTGAAAACACTCTAGCCTTCGGCGCCTTATTCGCCGCAGCGCGTCCTCTGGCGGGCGGCGCCTCTGAAACCGGATCCCGAGCCGGCGCATCTCTGAGGTCTGCCTCGAGCAGAAACCTAACCGTCGTGGAGCATTCACGGCGAGGATACGACCTGAAGCCATTTGAGGAGCAGGAGCTCATTTCATCCCCCAGATAATCCTTCAGCAAAAACGGTGTCATCGGCTTCGCCAATTTTGGTTTCATCTCCGACGACAGAGTGAAACCAAGGCAGCACTGGAATCAGTCAGAGGTCGAAGATTCGAACACAATGAATCAAATAAAATCCAATTCAAACACAATGAATAAATTCCAATCCAGTTCAATTGCAAAGAGAAAATGTTTTCGGCAGATACACTAGGAAATTAGAGTAGCTTTTAAATAAAACAGGGTGATGAATATGAATGTGTAGTAAGTTTATCTTTAACCGCAGCACGGACAGCTTTATAGCCAGAGTGTGAGGTCGGTGATGAAGATGGATGGCAGTTTCTAGAGGTTTATGGCGATGGCTAAATATGTCAAGATAGAAAGAGATATTATTAAATGAGAAGGCAGGCAGTAAGTAAACGTAACAGCGCAGATCGGAGAAATACTGCACTCGGAAATGTAAGTCATCAAGAGGATGAAGGAGATAAATTGTGTACGGTGTGAAGGTTTGTATTAGAGGGAAAATTATACCGTGCAACAGTCCTGGACTCGGGCCGGGCCGGGCCGGGCCGGGCCGGGCCTCGGACTTCTTTATGTATTTTTTTTCTTTTTCTAATTAACCCTCGACCCCCCAACCCCCCAAAACACTCAGCCCAACCCGTTGGAATAAAAAAAATGAAAAAACCAAAAAATAATGATTTTTGCCCGAACCGGGCCCGGGCCCGGCTGGGTCTCATTTTGGCAGCACCGTGCCCAGACCCATCCCCCCTCGGGCCGGGTCAAAGCCCGGTACCCGGACCGGTGAACCGGACTGGTCCCGGGCCCGCACAGTAGCGTGCCGGGCCGGTTCACAAGTCGGGTGGCCCGACCCGAGTCCACCACTACCGTGCAACCGACATAATTTTCTCATCTATAGTTGCACACTCCACTCATCGTTCCACATCATTTTTTGCATTCTTATGTTTACTTTAGTTTTTTCTAGGGGTGGCCGGGTGGGAAAATATACCGTAATTTCAATATACCGCCCATATCATACCGAAAAATACCGATTTTACCGAAAATTTCGGTATACCGAATTTTTCGGTACGGTATGATACCATACCGGATCACTTCGGTATATACCGAAACACCGTTAATTTTCGGTATGGTTCGCTATATACCGAAATACCGAAATAAAACTTGTAAATTATTAAGGCCCAAACTCAACCCAAAGACATTAAAGGAGTGTTTTCCATTGCTTAATAAAAGTGCTTTTGAGCTTTTTGCTTAAAAAAAGCTGAAAGAGGTGTTTTCAAATGACAACTTCTGCTTAAATTAATCACTTAAAAGCTAAAAGCTGGAAGCAGGTGGAAGGATGCTTTAAACTGCTTTCCACTTTTCCTATTACACAAAAGCACTTATTTTACCAAACACTACCAATTTTTAATTTTTCAAAATCACTTTTTTCTCAAACATACCAACTTTTACTATTAAGCACTTTCTCCAAAATCACTTTAAAAAACCACTTTTTTAAAGTAGAAGCAATCGCAAAAATGAAATAACTAAAACACTAAGGCCCAAACCCAACCCAAAGACATTAAAAGAAATAACTAAAACATTAAGACCCAAACTAAAAAAAACTGATCTTTAACTTACTGCCACTGGACAGGGACGAAGCCAGGATCTAATGTTAGTGGTGTCAAAATAATATATCAACGAAAATTACACTAAGGAGAGCAGATCATATTAGGTCGGCCTAATGGGAATCTCCGTCAAGCCGATGTCATTTGAGCCCTTCCCGATGGAATTTTTTATCAGATATTTTGAGCATGTTCTTCATTATGTTTAGTTTAGGCCTACCTCAACTAAAAATTTCAACCGTGAAATCAGTTAAATAATTTTTTTACAAAAACTGTGCTTTATTTATATAAACAACACAATTTTTATAAATATTTAGTTAATTGTCTTCCCGATTGACCCTTAAGGTGAAATTTGGTTGGCAAAAAACAGACTTGATGAAGAACATGATAAAAAATATTTATCAAAAAATTCACTGGAAAGAGCCCCGAATGGCCTTGGGCGGTCTGACAAGATCGCTACTCTTATCCTAAGTGAGAGTAAACAAAATGTGAATTTTAAATTAGGAGTATTATATTATTGTTTCTATTTTTTATTATATATTATCAACATTATTCTTTAAATCATACATCAAAAAAATTTTGAGATAGGAGAGTATATTATACTTCGTATATATTGACACTTTATAAAAACAATTAGTGATGTCATTTTTAACACTTTCAATCTATATATACATATATACAATAAATATATAGTTTGAGTGGTGTCATTTTTAACACTTTCAATTTATATATACATATATATACAATAAAAATATAATTTGAGTGGTGTCATTTGACACCATAAGTCAACACTTAGCTCCGTCCCTGCCACTGGATCTCTAAACCTAATCGCATATTGGAGCAATGACGATGGATTTCTAAGCTATGCCTCCGTCTCATCTCTGTTCTAGCCCGAGTTTGAGTCGCAGCTGGAGACATGAAGCATGGTAGAAGATTCTCCCAAGAAGTCAAGATTCGTACGCTCATGCCAACTTCTCTTCTCCCAAGTCTGTGTATAACGACGGAAGACTTGGAGCTGTAGCTGCGCCATTGACGAAGCACGGAGCTGCGGACGACCATCAATCATTTCACTGCTGAAGCTTCTCAATCTGGTCTGTGATCAAGCATGCTACAACCGGAACTTTGAATTATTCTGTTTTTGTTTAAATTTATTTTTAATAAGAATTAGAAAAAAGTTCTAAGAATTACTTTCTCCTAGGAATTAGTGACCTCAGTTTTGTGTGTTGATATTTTCTCTTTGGCAGAGCTTTAAACCTTTAATTACTGACCAAGCTTTTGTAAGAAAAAAAAAGTTGTGAATTAAACCTTTACTTACTGACCGGCATACTGGCACATGTTTCAATCTGTATGGTAACTGTTGGGATATATTATCCCGGCCTATTACTGTTCAGGAGCGCAAGACATTATCCAGTACGGAGCCCGAGCAGCTAGGTCCATTTCGGCCCATTCTGGCCCACTTTGGCCATTAGGCCCGGCATTGGCCCGTTTGGCCCATTAGGGTGGAGGGCACCCTTCCCCTTTCCCCTATAAATATGAGGCTTCCCTCCATGTTTAGGGGATCCTTTTTTAGCTTCATCTTCCTCCTTCTTTTAGACTTAGCTCAATACTCCATTAATGGGAGCTTGTACAATGTAATTGTGAGGAGAGTCCTAATGAGAAAGAGAGGGCTTGGACATTAGCCTAAAAAGTCCCGTGGTTTTCTCCCTTTCGGGTTTCCACGTAAAAACTGAGTGTTCTGATAACCGCTTTCGCGGCGTTGTAGTAAAACGGAGTCTAACCTTTCGGTTTTCCCCCGAGTATCGTGTCTCTCGAGGAATGGCGGAGGAGCTTCTTGATTTTAAGTCCAGTCACAGGTTATCGCAAATTATTGGAAGCTTTCCAAATTAAAACTTTTGATTGATTTTCTAAACTACTTTTTGGAAAAGAAAGTAAATTAAATTGTGCAAATACTAATGATGGCTAAAAAATAAACTAAAGGAAAAAAATATAATATTAAACTTAAATGGATTGATGCAAATAAGGGCAATGAATTGAGTAATTAGAAATGGATATATTCTTGGACCTAGTAATTAGGGAAATTAAAACTAAAATTGGACTAATAATTTCTTTCCTCATAGACAAGAATAGAAACTATTTTCATTAATTTATCCTATTTCTAGGTGTCATTAATGTGTTAAAAATGGTTGGCTTGAATTAAATTCTAACCTCATAGACAAGGTAGAAATAATTCTCCAGTATTTTAATTAATAAAAATAGCCAAATTCATTAACTAGTTAAACTCATTATTTAAGCAATTGAATTTATCTCTCATAGACAAGATGCAAATCCCTTTCATTAAATTATCCTATTTCTAGGCCTTATTAATGTGCTCGAATATGGTTGGCTTAAATTATTTTCTAATCTCATAGACAAGTTAGAGATAATTTTCCAAGAATTTAATTAATGAATATGGCTAACAATTATTAATTACTATTTCATCATTTCAAACAACTAGTCCAAATTATTAATTTTAATCCCTATTTTTTTGGTCAACAAGTCAATCCATATTCCTTTAGTCAATTCATGCCCAAAACAAATTTAGCTAATAAAGATCATTTTAACAATTAACAATATAATGAATATATTCAACATTAACAAGGAATTAAACATGGATGATAGCAAAAATTATATTATGGAACAATAAACTTGTAGAAAGTAAAGTATAACTTTCTGGAATTTTTCACGAATTTTTGAACCTAAAATCCAATTTTAACAACTAATTGATAATTTTCCCAATTTTAACTAGAAAATGCAAAAAGCAACTAAAATTATTCTAAATTCGTTATAAATTTTATATTGACTACTGGGAGTGATATTAATGTGAATTAAACTGGAATTAGGACAGAAACTAATTTTTTTTTACCTTTTGAGTATTTAATTTAATTTATGCAATAATAACAACTAAATGCCGGAATTAATTAAAAATTACCTCTGCTTCGTAAAAATTAACTTTGTTTTGATAAATAACTACCTTGAGGCTAGTAAACAACTATATAATTAATTGGAACGAATTCAACAACAATAACTATTTTATTCAAAATTAAGAAGAAAATGCGAAATAATGTAATAATTTTCTGGGAATTTTTGAAGCACAGATAGAACAAACAAAGTACATATTCAGATTCTACACATTTAAAGGATGAAAATACATATAAAGAACTCACAATTTGGAGCTAAAATGAGAAAGATATGAAAGATTGAAGTTGAAGGTGCAACAATGGTGGAAATCCGAGCTTGAGGAGGAAGAAGACGCCCTTTTTGATCTGATTTGGGCTTGAAATTGGTGTGTTTGAGTTCAGCAAAAATCGGGCAATTTATAGGAAATTTTTCTCCGTAGGCGGCCATCCAGGCGGCCGCCTTCCGCCTCTCTCCGGCCGCCTTCCGTCTAATCGCCGGCAGCGGATCGTGGCCGGTCCCGTCAGCCGTAGGCGGCCACAGAGGGCGGCCTCCTTCCGTCACACATTGGCCGCCTGCCGTCTTTTCATGGTCAAATCGGATCGCGGCGGATCGCGGCGGATCCCGGCCGCCGCAGGCGGTCCAGCAGGCGGCCGCCTGCCGTTCCTGTCTGGCCGCCTGCCGTCAAATCCCACCGGCCGGCGGTTGCTTCGTCGTCTTCTGCCGCAGGCGGTCACCGTAGGTGGCCGCCTTCCGTCCAGTGTCGGCGGCCTACGGTCTTTTCCGAATCCGGTCAAAGTCAAAGTTTGACTTTCCAAAAATACCGTAGGCGGCCGCGAAGGCCTTCATTTTGGCCGCCTGCCCGGCCGCCTGTGAGATTATTTGTCCGGCTTGTTCCTTATTTTGTGCT